AAAAGAAAGATAGGGGTTAACAGACAGCTGAATTAGGGGAAAGAATAAGGAACGGTGTTTGTGGAGTATAACATAGAGGACGAAAACCGGACGACACGTGCCGTCCGGTTTTCGTCCTCCATGTTATTCTCCACAAACACCGTAACTTAACCAGCACGCTCCATTTCCACGAAAGAATAAGGAATTTTCGTACACCGTTTTCTCAGTTCCTCTAGGCTCTCCGGAGCGAAAACGGCACTCTTGAGCCTCCGCGGCGCTGGCCTTGCCTGCAGAGTCCCAGATCTCGTAGCGGGTAGCGGAGCGGAGAACCGTTGCGGGCCAGCGGTAACCATCTACGAGAACTCCCTAATGTGGCACTTGTCAGTGAAGTTCGCCTCTCATCGCTAAGATATTCCCTCACTGACTTTTCCAGCACGTACACGGACGACCACAGGTGTACGTCCTTTATGTTTTTATTCTTTCGTTTTTGAGTATTCATTATAAACACGCGCTCGAATTAATTGCTACTGAGCTACACACTCTCTTGTGTAGTAAAAATGAGCTGTCAGGGGGGGCGGCAAACTCGATGTTCTAGCCAGAACACCGCTACCACTCGGAGACCGCGACCGCCCATTCGGCGACAAGTGGCCTGCGGGCTCCGTGCAGCGAGCAACATGCGCGGGAACGAAAGCTGCGCTGCTGCGCCCACCGGGAAAGACTGGAAAGACAAGATCGTGAAGAGGGGAGAGAAGAGGGGGGGGGGGGGGGGGGGGCGACAGCGGCCCGTTCCGGGAACATGCTTCCCCTTGGGGAATGCTTCCCACAAAGAGCGGCCGTCTTTAGTCGGATGCAGTGTTGTCGAAATACCGAAAACGTATTGTTTACATAAAAATATAATCTGTATATACAAATTAAATAATGCCGGTCCTTGAAAAGTGCCCTGGGAGACACCTAGTTAGACTAAATATTTTGGTTCATGTTTTTTTGTTATTTCTGTAATCTGATTTCGGTTTTCTAAATCTTGAAGATTGCATTCGATCCATTTAATAGTATTGTATGACGCACTTTCATTTAGTTTTTTTATATGTAATATAAATAACGGCATTGCCTACTTTCATTTATGAAACGAAGTCGTCCAAAAAGTTTTTTTAGTTGATTTCTCCTTGAAGCCATGCGTGTCAATTTTTAAATAGTATTTATTACGAAAAAAGTTTTAAGGTATTTTACACGATTTTTTTAAACCATGTAATCAATTCCTGGAAGCATTCAAACAGGCCTGTTGTTTGGATATTTCTTATTTTCACCCTTTTCTATATTTATTGTTTTATTTATTTATTTGACAATACTATCAGCCCCGCAGTGAGCACTTGGAGAAAGAAATAAAATAGCGGCAATATCCGAATTGAAATTCCAACACGCACGCGCAAAGCAGCATAAATTAATGCATAAGTACGCTATAAATATACTGCGGTCTACTGTCTAACGGCCGTTTTTAGCTCAATCGATATTTTCCTATGATACATATTCTGTTATCAAGATCGAACAGAGTCGCCACCGCGCGGCCGATGTTGGAAACACTGCTAGTGTGGATACCACCGCACGTCGTCGGCTCTCGGCGCACGTTGGAACATGAATCCTTGTGACGATGAAGGCTTGTTTTCGGGTAAACTGCTCGATGTACGTTGTGAGTGAATTGTTTATTCGAAAAGATTGTATCGTTCCTTGAGAGTGGAAACGCGCCAAGGCAAGGAATGCCAAGCCGGATGCTTATATATGTTGCTACTGTGGTTGTTGTTGTAATGTGGTTATTTGCTTGTTTCAGTGCCATTGCACCCTATTATGGAGTACATTGCCGACGGAAAGCGGTGCCTTGTCGAAGGCAAACAACTTTGTGGTTGTGGTCTCAACGACCATCGACGAGCGTACACGTGTGGAGTTATGCACCGCAGTCATCGGCTTTCAGCAAGGATCCCCACGCTGTGGATCTGAAACCACGAACGGAGCCACGATTGATAAAAATTTCGTGCACTCACCCTGCCAAATAACTATTGTTTGTGACTCCAACGCCCGGATACGACTTTGACAGAATCGCAGGATTCCTCCTTCCGATTGTTTTAAACGCTGCGATCCCAATTATTCGAATGTTAGGCATAGGAACCTATTCGCTGTCGCTAACTCTCGAGAATTCTAGAGACTTGAATTCTGGCCTCAAAACAAGAGAGGTATTCACGTGCCTTTATTTTTCGCTAATTTTGTGATTCTCGAAAATAAGGGGCTCGCGAAGGGTTTTCCAGAAAGGCGCCGCAGACACTTCGGAAAAAGAATGGCTCGAGCTTCACCCATGTCCTTTAGTGAGCTGTAAACTGAGATGCTGGGATGGGCAGTATTTCAAATACAAGTATTTGAAATACGTATTTCAAATACTTTGTGTATTTTGCATCTGTATTTAATTACAAATTGGGTAATGCATTTGACGTGTGTATTTAAATTCTAAAACGTGGGTATTCAAAAGCAATTGTAATTAAATACAATTTTGTGGGCAAAAATACATCCCTCAATTTTATTGTCACGACAATTCTTGTTTTCATGCATGTGGTTGTAAAATATAGTCTCCATCCTTTATTCGGCCATGGGGCTTTTTTTTTCTTTTTCTCCTCCCGCTTTATTTTAAAAGCACTGTCCAAAGCAGGAAGAAAACTACGTTCTGCACTGAATGCAGTGTCTCTCAATCAAGCACAAGCGTTTAGTGACTTTGTGATTACGGTGATAG